GGATGGATGGGTGGGTGGGTGGGTGGATGGATGGGTGGATGGATGGATGGGTGGGTGGGTGGATGGGTGGGTGGATGGGTGGGTGGATGGATGGATGGATGGATGGATGGATGGATGGGTGGGTGGGTGGGTGGACGGAGAGATGGACAGTGGATGGGCCTGTGCCTGCAGCAGCACAGTGAATGCAGGAATGTAGCATTAAAACCCTCTAAGAACTCTCTGCCCCATGATCCCAGAGTTCTGGAGTTCCAAGCTGGATAAAGAAAGGGTCGTGAGTCCCCTGCTGCGGCCTCCAGCAACCACTCACCCGCTTAGGCCTGTTTCCCCCACCTTGCCGCGGAACAGGCCGGGATCTGTATGATCATTCCCCTTGTTACCCCCGACTCCGGACCACCCACCGCCGGCCCCGTATCGCGTGACCCCAAGCCTCTTGGCGTGCGGGGACAGGATTCCCTGAACAACCTCAGCCAGGTTCCCGGCAGCCAGTCCCTGCCTCTGCCACGCCCTCTAGGTGAAAGCCACACCCCAGACGTGAATGAAAGACTCGCCTTTCCGGAACAATCACGCCCTCGCGTTGCCGTGGTAACCGCCTCCTAGCCCTGCTGCATGGCAGGCAGGGATGCTTAATCCTTCGCGCAGGCGCGGGGATCCATCAGCATCCTCTGAGGGCTCCTTCCATCGTCCCTCCAAACTACATTTCCCAGAAGCTTTCGTGGCCTAGCTCGTCTCTCTTTTTTTTTTCCTCTTTTCTCCCGACTACATTTCCCAGAAAGAATTGCAGCCGCCACCGTCCTCGATGTACTGAGTCTAAACCTATTGCCGCTCCCGGAGTCCTTTGCAGCTGACGGCGACGACTACATTTCCCAGGAGCCTCAGCTGCACCGCCCACCGGAAGCGGCGGGCGAATTGCGTGTCCTTGCGCGGGGAGTGAGCCCAGAGACTGATCATGGTGGCTCGAGTGTGGTCGCTAATGAGGTGCGTGGAGGCGCGGGTGGGCGCTGAGCCTTCGAGAAAGTTCCGTGCTGCTGGCGTTTGTGCCGTGCGGCTTGGTGCCCTGTGACTGCTCACTTCCGGTTGCGTCTGGACCTCTTGGGGCCCATGCAGGGAGCACTGGAAAGCTCTGTCCTGCCTGCCAGCCCTTGTCACCCACAGCTTCAATTTTCCGTAGTTTGCAATGGGGATCCGTGGGAATCTTGCCTCCCGCCCCGTTCCGGAGCTTGAGTGACATGAAGGAAGCTCCCCGGGGTCCCTGGAAGGTTTTGTGTCCACTGTCTCCTGCTCTCGGCAGAAATTCGAATGACCCACTGTCTCGGTTTACCACACAAGGCAAAAGGAATGATCCTTGTTCCCTGGGGCTCCCAGGATGTCACCTGGTGAACTGTTAGGTCCCCGGAGACCCACCCCACGGCTTCTGTCCCTTCCCGTCTCCCCGCAGGTTCCTCATCAAGGGCAGCGTGGCAGGGGGAGCAGTCTACCTTGTCTATGACCAGGAGCTGCTGGGGCCCAGTGACAAGAGCGAGGCTGCCCTTCGGAAGGCCGAGGAGGTGGTGCCACCAGCAATGTACCAGTTCAGCCAGTACGTGTGCCAGCAGACGGGTCTGGAGATGCCACAGGTACCCTGGCTAGGTGTCAGCATGGGGCTTCACAGGCCGGTTCTGGGTGGCCCTGCACCCCCACCACCTCTGCCTGGTGGAGTTGTGTCCCTGGGTTTGGGTGACAAGGCTGTGACCTACCCCCACGCACCAGCCAGCCCTGTGCTCCTCTTTCTTCCCAGCTCCCAGCCCCTCCACAGATTAACTTCCCGAACTTCCGTGACTCCTGGAACTCAGGTAGGCGCCTCTGCCCCCGCTCGGGGACGCCTGGGCACCCCAGCCTCACTCCCAGCCCCGTTTGCCTTGCTGTTCCTCTCCATTCCTCCGCTTCCCTGTTCGTGTGCCTTTATGTCACCTATGGAGCTAAATAGAAAGGACTGGGCGTAGTGGCTCATGCCTGTGACTCCAGCATTTGGGAGGCTGAAGGCAGGAAGACTTGGAGTTCCAGGCCGCCAGGGCTACACAGAAAAACCCTGTCTAAACAACAACGAAAACCACAAAACAAAAAAGAAATCTGAAAAATGGTGTGGGGCAGGGGTGGCTCCACTCCCGCTCTGGGTAACACTCTTGGGCTTTCTTGGGGGTTGGCTGTGAAAGTTCTGGCAAGTTGGGGTCTCATCGGCACCCATGCCTATCTCTGCAGGCATCATCTCCGTCATGGCAGCTTTGTCCGTGGCCCCCTCCAAGGCCCGAGAATACTCCAAGGAGGGCTGGGAGTACGTGAAAGAACACAGCAAGTAACGGATGCCACCGGCCCCAGCGTTCCTGGGGAGTGAGACCAGGATGCCGCAGACTCGACCACATGGGGACCCCACTCTGAGGGCAGCTTCCAGCATTGCTGGTCCAATAAAGGACTTGGGAATGGTCCCTGACCTGTGTTCTGGTAGGAGGATGTAGAGTGGACTTGAGGAACTTGGATCGCCCTGTGCTTTTGGGGGTCCTGGCCCCCGGGGACCTGTGTTCCAGATGTGATGCTTAAGAGCCCTGAAAGTCTTTTTAATTTTAAAAAACTGTGTCTTAGGGTTTCCATCGCTGTGATAAAGCACCATGACCAAAAAGCTAGGCAGGGAAGAGTTGGCTTCAGCTTGTTCCTCTTAGGCCACACTGTCACTGAGGGGAGTCAGGGCAGGAACCTGGGGACAGGACCAAAACAGAGGCCGTGGAGGGTCACTGTGTGTGGGCTTGCTCCCCATAGTTTGTTTAACCTGCTTTCTGATAACACCCAGGACCGCCAGCCCAGGGTGGTGCTGTGTGTTGGACCCTTACACATCAGTCAGCATTCAAGAAAATGTCCCACAGGCCAATCTGATGGAGGCATTTTCTCAGTTTAGTGTCCCTCTTCCCAGACGACTATTAAGTTGGCAGAAAAAAGACTAGCAGTGTGTGCTTTCCTTGTGTGTGCGTGCACACGCGCGTGCTACAGGGCCCACACTATCCAAAAGGCGTCCGATTCCCTGGAGCTGGACTTCCAGGCGGTCCTGAGTTGCCTGTCATGGGTGCCGGGATCCCTCCAGCCCTCAGAAAGGATCGAGAAGGTACTGGGTGGTGGTGGAGGGGAGCCAGGACTTGGGGAGACCCTGAATAGGTTTTATTTGCAGCAAGCCACTCTGGTCTCCTAACCTTGTCCCCAAAGGTCACTTTTCCCAGGGATGCTGCACCAGCTGTCCAAGGCCTGAATGCCCCCCCCCCCCCCATCAGTATCTCAGAAAGGCAGCCAGGCAGGCCCAGAGGGGTGGGGCTAAGGTGGAAGGAGCATAGGCCACTTTGGGGCTCTGGGTCCCCTCCAGGCTCAGCTTCTGCCGCGTGAGGCTCTGCAGCTTATGTGCCCAAGCCCACCAGGACACCCAGCGCATTCACAGACCACCTGGCAAACCCAGTGGACAGACGGGAGGGGTGATGGCTGAGCCCAGCTCTCTCATCCCAGGTTCACTCCTGGGCTGCAGAGGGTACCTGGCATTGGGCTTATCATTGTGTCGCGCTGCTGAAGTCCAGAAGTTGGCGACTTGTGTCTTACACCCTAAGACTAGGGGCTGCCTCTGCCTGTAACCCAGGCTGGGTGTCTGTGGCCTCCACGGTGAGGCCTATGCCTCACCCCCTACCCCCATCCTCTGCTGCCCCCCCCCCAGCAGCCATCTTTGTTCTTGCATAGGTCTATCCAGGAAGGGCAGCCCTGCATGTCCCTCATGCTAACCAGCACGGTGGGCACAAGCCTGAGCTCACAACACGGGACCAAGGGGGCCGACTGTTCCCATCTGCAGGACTGAGGCAGCCAGCCAAGGCCACAGGTGCTGAGCCACACAGAATGGGACAGGCTAGCCATGGACACCAGCTCTGGCTGCTAGTGGAGTACCACTTCTCCTTCCTGAGGAAAATGAGGCCAAGCTTGACGGTCTGAAGTAAAGGGCACATGAACAGAAACACCTTTATTACAAAAAACAGCAACAAAAACCAAAATGAAAACAAATTCACATTGTAACAAGCTACAATATGGCAGCAGATTAAAAAAAAAATCCTTTGTACAGTGGTGGGAGAAGTCCTGACGGACACGGAGGTCACAGCTGGTCACAGCTGGTGGCACGGGTGCTCAGTAGCGGCGGGTGAAGCGGGCGTCACTGGGTCTGCTGCCCCGGCTCTGGCCTCCAAAGCCTCCCTGCATCCCTCCACGTGGAATCACATGGCCACGCGAGGCTCCACCCGGGGCGAAACTGCCACGCCTAAGAAGAAGGGGGGACCGTTGTCCTGAGGTCCTACCTTAGTCAGCGGTCCCCATGCCCCGGTCCCCAGGTCCCCACTGCAGTGCAACCCTGCTCCCACTGGGCAGTGTGGCGCTTACCCCGACATGCCCCCGCGGTTCATCATGTGGCCGGGCCCCGAGTGTCCAGACATGCTCCTCTCACCGCCTGCAGGACGAGGCACAGGCCCAAGCGGGCAGCTTGGCAGGTGTCGAGCCAACAGCCCTCCTTGGTCTCAGCCAGCCCCGGCGCACCCCGGGCCCCAACCCTCACCGGGGGCCCCGGCTCCCCCGGCCCTCACCTTGCCACCTCTTGTGCTCGCGCTCCATCAGGCCCCCGTCGGCCGCGCCCTGCCATGCCCGGTCATCTTCCAGTCTCCGGCTGTGCTCCCCCCAGTCACGCCTGCCCCTTGGAAAGAGACACCACTGACCTGCACTGCCACAGTAGCGCGGCGGACAGAGTGGCGGGGGACAGAGAGGCGGGGGCGCAGGCCCCCCCAGGCCGGGCCGTGGGAGGGCAGGACACAAACCTGGGGGGAGGGGGCAGCCCCCGGCCTTCACTCATCCTCTTGTTGGAGCCGTAGCCCCAGCCGTCCCGAGAGTCCCGGCCGTGGCGCTCAGGTCCTCCATGGCGCTCGGGGTAGTGCTGGACCAAAGAGGAGGGTGAGGTGAGCGCCATCCCTGACCCCAGACACAAGGACACAGCTCAGGACCAGAGTGTGTGCCGCTGTCCCAGCGTCCTCCCTCACTGGGAGGTTAGGTTCACGAGGCTCCTTACAGGAGCCCCAGCCTATGCACGGCTCCCGCGCTTCACAAGCGTGAGACACCGACAACCGAGTGACCGCACGACACGACACCCACACGACGAGCTCTTGCGAAGGCCCCACTCCGGCCCAGGCTACACCTCAGTCTCAGTGACGCCTGCCTTAGCCCCCCAACGGGGTTAGGAGCGTGAGCCATTACAAACACTGCCTGCCCTATCTACACCGTGCAAAGACCTGACACACTGCACGCAGCGCGCGCTCCCCAGCGCCCCCGGCTCCTGTGACCACAAACGGCCCTGGGACGCTGTCACCCGTCCTCCTCTGCAGTGACACTTCAAGGACAGATGAACACCCACACAGGCCACTCCCGGTCACCAGTTCCCACAGAGCAGCTGTGTGGAAACGGTGACCCCAGCCATCGGCTGCAGGCGACCCCGGGGCCAACTCGGTGATGGGAAACCAAGAGGGTAGAGGGTAAGCGAGACGGCAGCTGAAGCCCGCCATGAGGGAGGGCAGCGGCGGTGGCTCGGGTGTGTGGGGTCCCACGGCTGCAGCGGTGCCCGTGCTCACCTGTCCTTCTCTGTCGCCCATCATCGACCTCGAACCTTCTCTCCTAGAAGAGGTGATTTCAGTGAGACCAGGCGGGGAGGGTTAGGGTGCAGAGCCCTCCCTCCCACACGGCCACGAGCCCACGCGGCTCACCTGTCCACGGAGTGGTTGGGGTAGCGGCCCCGGTCTCTGTGGTCGAAGTCGTGGAAGCGGTCCTGGCGGCCGAAATCCGAGTGGTAGCGGTCATCCAGCGCGGCCCGCTTGGCTTCCGGCCAGTAGCCATCGTCACGCCTGAGACAGGCAAGGACATGAGGCAGGCGGCCAGGGCCTGCAGAGCCTGCAGGGCCCCAAGTCCCAACCGCGGCCCTGGCAGGAGCTCCCCTTGCGGAAGGTGTAAACTGGACTAAACACCCCCAACTCCTGCCTCGGTGGCCCCGGGGGTGCCGTGTCCAGATCTTTGAACGGCCCCACTCAGCACCCACTTCACGGGGCGCCTGCCGGCCTTCTACCCAAGCCCCCCAGGCCCGTGGCGTCCCGGCGGGCTCCGACAGGCCCGGGCGGCTGCTCACCGGCCGTCCACATCGTAGGGCCTGCGCACCGCAGGCCGCCGCTCCTGCTCATAGCGCAGCTCCTGCTGCCGCCGCAGCTCCTCCCGCTCGCGGTGGATGCGCTCCTGCTCCCGCCTCCGCTCCTGCTCCACGTGCATGCGCTCGCGCTCCAGCCGCTCCCGCTCCATGCGCTCGCGCTCCAGCCGGTGGCGGTGGAAAGCCAGGCGCTCCCGGGCGATCTCCAGCCGCTCCCGCTCCTCCCGCTCCCACTGGGCCTGCAGCCTCTGCTCCCGCTCGCTGCGTTCCCGCTCCCTGTGTGAGGAGGGAGTCCAGGCAGGGACCCCGCGTGAGGAGGGCCCGGCCCGCAGCACCTCACAGGGAGTGGGTCCCCGGCACACAGCGGCCACCTCCTGTCTTCCCCCCCTCCTCCTTTCCCCAGGCCCAGCCCGACGCCCAGAGGCCCTGGCCTGCCTGCCCGCCCTGGCGCCCATCTTAAACACCCCCTGCGGCGGCAAGGCCGCTTCAGGAACTGCATTTCGACAGGCACACGGCAGCAGTGCCGTGCCCGGCTGGCCAGACGCCGCGACCCCTTTCCTGATCCTCCTCGGCAAGTGAGATGCCCTCGGAACACCCCACCGTCCCGGCCCTGCCGGCCACTTTCTGTGGTCTCTGCGCAGGCTGCCAATCTCAGCACAGGTCCTCAGAGTGCCCACCCGGCCAGGGGCCGCCAGTCCCTTGCCCGCCCTCGGCTGTCCCTTCCCAGCACGGCTCACCTCCGCGACTCCGAGTCTCTGGACTTGCGGGACTCCTTAACCTTGTCAAAGGACACGACAGACCGCTTTTCCCGGCTGGCCGACTTTCGGTCCTGGCTTTTGGAGGCCTGGTAAACAGAAGATGGTCAGGGCAGTCGGGGCAGAGGCTCCCGGCACAGAGACGGTCGCTGATGGTCACTGATGGAGCCGGGGCTCACAGGAGGGCTCAACAGAACACAACGGCTCCAAAGGACATGAAGTCACATCTCTCCCCTGCAGACAGGCTCTCAGCGTTTAGCCCAGGATGGACCACACGGTCCTTCTGCCTCAGCCTCTAGCATGCCGCACTGAGAAGCGCGAGCCCCCGCCCGGGGGGCTAAGTCAGACCTGCTGCTCTACACTGCCCGACTACAGTGAGACTCACGGCTAACCATCGGACCCCGGTTGGCCCACAGTGCGTGGCAGCCTGGCTAAACCCACCCATCTGCCCACCCTTCCCGGTCAGGGCCCTCCTCCATATGCA